CACCCCAATAGACCCTTATTGGTGGGATCATGATGACTCTCGTTACTCTTCTCTGAAAGGAATTTAGTTAAGTTAATATAACGGTCAACTACTGAGTCCCAATGTAAATTCTAAAACTCGAATCTCCAATTTTAAAATGAGTACGAAAGTTTATTTATATACAATGGATAACACCTATAATCTATGGACGACTAGTGGAGTTCATAAAAAAAAAAAAGGTCTATTACAAAGTTGTCCATTCTCTCTATATCTCTACTTGTTGGGTGGTTGCAAATAATAGTGTGGCAAATATCATCAAATTTTTTAAAGGCTCGATCATGAGGAGAAAGTCAACAACTCAAGCTAAAGCTAAACAATCGACCCTAACAAGAAAAAGAGAGCCTTGGGAGCCCTTATGCGGCTAATAGAAGAGTTCTTATTATTAGAGAGAGAGAGAGAATTTATTTCAACGATGGTAGGTTTCTTGCCACACTGAATGTTGCAGTGGTAGTAGGTTGTTGCCACTTAGTGAACTGCCTCATCAGAGGATCTGCCCAATAAACCCATTGTTTCTAAATTCTAAAGTTTTTAGGGTTAACCCCAAGGAACAACTCAAGTAATAAAGAAACGATTTGCAAATTTAGACGTCCTTAGTTTAAATTTAAACAACTCCTTAGGGTTAGGCCTTGAGAGATTTATTTCTTATGAATACTTTAGTCCTGACGTAGATAATCTACCTTTGACCAGACTAAAGAAAGAATTAGTCAAAACGCGCTTAAGTTAGTCCGAACACTACTAGCCGTTGAACCAAAAAAAAAAAAAGTTTTTAGGGTTAGAATATGGTACTGTAACAAAACATACAATTTTTTGTAGATTAAGTTATGATCGATTCTAAAATTTTAGGATACATCCAACATATCCTTAATATGTATAAACTGATTTAGGATTGGTTTTAAAATGTTGGATTCTATCCCAAACATCTATCTGTAAATACTCATACCCTGATCATTTAATGTTTGAGACCGATTTTAAATTAACACGTTCAAATTATACCCCTATTAAATACTTGTCGCCTTTTGGTATAAAATAGAATAGGTAGAAAACGACTCAAACCAAACTTGATAATTATTCCTATTCGAAATTTGTGTAGCACCTTCAATAATTTTTTCTCATATGAAAACCGACTAATACTTTTTTCATAAAACAACTAAGGCATCACATGTCATAATAATTTGGAAAGGAACTATTCATAGGTGGGGTTCAAGATGTTGTCTCCAAATGGAATCTTTCTCAACAATAACGTGTGTGCGCTACATTTTGAAAGTGTTTGTCATCTGGCTCCTTAAAGCAAAAGTTTACCAAATTGATTGTAAATATAAAGAGTACAAACTAATTTTGAAAAATTAAAGGAGGCTATTTGAGAACTGTTTGGTTTGTATATCAGAAACTGTTTTTCTGTTTTCGAAAATAGTTTTTGGAAGAAAAGTTGTTTGGTCAGTTTTTTTTTGTTTTTGCTTTTAAAAAATTGAGAATAAAAATTGGGTAGATTTAGAAACTAAGTTATGATTGTTTTATGTGTTTTTTGAAATAACATTTTTCAGACTTTAGAAAACACTGCCACCACTACCACCACCACCAACACTATCATATTCACCACCATCACATTTTTGTTTTTATTATTTTTTGGGTTACTGTCCAAATAAGATTTATTATTTTTTCTTCCGTAAAATTATTTTTTGAATCATATACCAAACAAGTTTTGCAACAAAAAAAACATAAAAAACACAATTTTTTAAAACTCTTCCCAAAAATAATTTTCGAATACTATTTTTTGAGACGCAAACTAAATAGAGCCAAATTTTGGTCATTTTACCATGAGGTCCTTCACTGATAATGTAATTCATTGAATAAAAAGTTGTACCCGTGTGCACAAGGTTTGACCTAAAATATGATTTCGATATGGAAATGTCATGCAAAATTATTTATTTTGAAGAGATTAATTTTCAAACTAGACTTGCAATGTATTGCGTTGCAGATAATTATCATTATATATCTTTAAAAAATAAAACAAATTAAGTATATTGAAAGATTACCCAATATAGAAGTAGAACCGGGGGTTTACAATACCTAAGTAAGTTTGGTATATTTAAAACAAAAATTAGTTCACGCATAAAGCTCGTACCACCACGGATTTAAAAATGCTTATATGCATGCAGTCTTACCTTACAATTTAGAGAGATAATTTTTGCGGTGTAAAAATTTGATGCTCCTATCATAATAAAATAATCTTATTATCATAGGAACAATGCTACAGATTTGAGATCTCAAATCAATCTAGATTATTATATCAGTGAGTTCCGTTAATAAAAATTAACAGGACCCACTCATCTAACAATCCCGACTCATTTTCGATACCATTTGGGATCCAAAGTATCTTCTCGAGTAAAAACCAAAATTGTGGCAGGGAGCTGGGTTTGAAATCACGAAAAAGTTCCATGAATGGTTACTGTTATATTTACTCGCCTGATCGAATGGTTACTGTAAAGTTTGACTTTTGGGGCTTTTTGTGATTATAATTAAAAGTAAGCTTTATTAGTTTTTTTAACATGGGTTGGTTGCTCAATCATGTAGGATAATAATATATATCAAGGAAGTAGGTTATCTAAACTCAATCATTATCTCCAGTTTTGGATTTAAATTTTGCCCCAATTATTATAATATTTTGTACTTGGGCGGGCCCATACCTAAACTAAAATTGTTGCTTGTCACTGTAAGGATAAACGTATCCATAAGAGGGAATAAACCATCAATACCTCTGCCGTCGCCACCAATATCAGAAGGGTATTTTGGACAAATTGACCTTAATCTCACCTCTGAATCCTGAGTAAACTGGTGCATGGGATGGATATAGAATTAATACGAGTAAGACTGTCCATATAGAATTAATATGGATAAGACTGTCCCTATGTTGTGTTTATCTCCTGTGATGGATGGATTACACAGGATTGAATGTGGTTATCCTTTTTTTTTTTTAATACCACCACTACACAACATAACATATAATTATTGTTGAATTTATTCTAATTATACAAATATCTTAAACATTATTGTGCATGTTATATAGTATGAATAACAATAATATATATAAATATATATATATATATATATATAATGTCGTGGGCATAATTTTTGTGTATTATTTTTTTTATACCACCTGATTTGGTATAATTATAATCATTGAATATTTAATACTCGGTAAAACCTGCTAATTTAATGGGATATATTGAAGTGATCTACACAGATAGTGTAGAAAGGGGTGTGTAGTATTATTATAAATATATCTATAATATATAGTATGACTGCTTTCAATTAAGTTTATTTGACGATTTCAAATAAATTTATTCGACGGTTATCAAAATTTATTTCACAAGTATTCATATTGTATCGTATTGTCAAACACGAATAATTCCTTATATATATAATAAAATAACTTACAATTCAAATTTCAAAAATAAACAAAATGACTTTTACTATTTGTGGTTGAGATCGCTTTAAATTTTATTTTAAAGTTAATCTAATGGTTAATATTAACACTCTAAATTTAATAGGAAAAAAAGTCCATGCGGGTGTGTTTGGAGTGACTTTTTAAAAGTATTTCTATAAATTACATTTCATAAATACTTTAAAATAAAAATAGTATTTAAAACCGCCTCACTGCCACCCTTACCACCACCACCACATTCACCACTGTCACCGCCACTACCATCACCACGGTTATTACTACCCAATACAATCATCATTGTCTTGTATCACACTATTGCCGCCTATCACCCTTCACTTCCACTATAAATCGATATTTAAATTTTTTTATTTCTTCTTTATATTTGTGATTTGATTTTAAATATAAATATAAATATATTTATTATTTATTATTTATTATTCTGTGCCTTTAAGCACAGACAATAACTATTATTAACCCTCGTAGAGAAATCTTATGGTGTTGAAATCTTTTAGCTTCTACTATATATATAATATATATATATATATATATATATATCTTTTAGCTTCTATCAGGGTTAATAGTGCATGAAGAATATTATGTTATGGTGGCGTAAAAGAAGTTGCTGATAGAAAGAAATCTGGGTCTAGACCATTCCACTACTGATTGTATTGAATTGAATCTCCAAGACCAATAAAAGTTAAAAGAAAAGGTGACAAACTCATTCTTTGCAGTCACATTCATATGACGTGGCCCTTATCTGTAGATACACGTGTCACCCTTATAACATTTCGGAGGTGAATGCTTAGTTGTCAGTACAGGTATGGGATGGTCACCCAGCCACAAATGAAGTCGTATAATATTTCCATCCTGTTCTTTTGAACTTTTTTTTTTTTTTTTGTCCTCTTGAACCCCGGGCTAGCGAAACAGAGGTTAATTCAAAAAGTAAAATAAAAAAATCAAATTTTAAAAAACCCTTGAAATTATTTAAAGTGTTCGAGAAAAAATTAATTTTTTTTAAATAAAATCCTTTTTTTTCTTTTGGTACTAATAAAAATTGTTTTTTCTGAATAAGTCCAAGTCCAGATAAGATTTCTTTTTCCCTGACTATTCCAGAAGCTGATGTTTTCGATTAGCTTTCACACAGACAAAATATTATTTAATGGGGAGTTGATTAACGTTATAAATCATAATAGAATCATTTACTAAAGGGGGTGAAGATGAGAACTTTAATCTAATGGAATCAACTGTATTCTTTAAAATCTTATGTCCTTGAAAGGAGGTCCAAACAAAAGTATAGGTTATTAAAAGGTGGATTATGATAAGCTACTCAATGCTTTTGTATTAATCTAATCCAACGTTTGGTATAGTATGGCATTAATATATTGATTAAAATTTAAATTTTGGTACTAATTTTGATGTTCGATATTACCCCTTGGCAATACCAGCTGACCGGATACCGGCTATAATAATTTCCCAACAACCCACCGCTCTCAATATAATGTTGTCATCCATGCTCGGACATCTTGCCACAAACCTCACAGCCTAAAGAGTGTGAGACTGAGACTTCCCCTCTTTCTCCTATCTTGATCCTCAAACCCTATCGATTTCATTCCTCCAAACCCAACAATGCCTTTTGTGTATGAGAGAATAGCGATCGGCAACCACCACGAGCTCCGCCAATCCGGCAGTCTCAAGGCGGCGTTGGCCGAGTTCATAAGCACCCTTATATTTGTCTTCGCCGGCGAAGGCTCCGGCATGGCATTCAACAAGATCACGGGAAACGGTGCCACCACCCCAGCCGGACTTGTTGCCGCCGCGTTGGCTCATGCGTTCGGGTTGTTTGTGGCGGTGGCCATCTCAGCTAACATCTCCGGCGGCCATGTCAACCCTGCAGTCACTTTTGGGTTGTTCCTTGGTGGTAACATAACCCTTTTCCGTGGCATTTTGTACATAATTGCTCAGCTGCTTGGATCCACCATCGCTTGCTTGCTCCTCCTGTTCGCCACCGGTGGCTTAGTAAGCACAACTGATCAAACATGAAAGTTGGCTTTTATAGTTAGTTTGACCATAAATTTTTATCTATTTTTTTTAACCAAAAAGTGGACAAATAAATGAATAAAAATGGGATCTAGTAAGATAGTTTCCTTATAACCATTAAGTTAACACTTGATCAATTTAAATAAATTAAATCTCAATAACATTGTTTAAAGCGATAGTATTATTCTTTTGTATCAACTATCAAGAAGGACATTGAGAAGAAAGTTTCATATACCGGAGGAGGGGATCTTAATTTCTCTATTTTGGTACCATTTTTTTTTTTTTTTTTTTTTGGGGTTGTCTTGCATTATTATTATTATTTTTTTTATATTGGGAAGAGAGTAACAATTAATAAACTGTTCCTGTTGTGGCAGGTCAAAAATATTTACATTAATTTATTTTTTGGTTCAGTCAACATCAGTCATCTATCACTTTGCACTATCAGATGCGACAATTATAGGGAGATTAGTGGAGGAATGATAGCGTGTTAGAATTAGAAAATAGTAAGAAATTATAGTTACTTTTCAAAAAGTTGAAGTAACAAAAGTTACACTTGCTTTTGCTTCCGACAAGAAAGACTTCAATAATTCTCCTTCCAAAATATGGTGACAATTTTGGGATTAATTTATATTAATTTTTTGGGTAAATATCATGGATACCTCCAACTGTGGCCCCATTGCCCCATTTTAAAATGTCACCTTATCTTTCATTTGTTTAAATTTTTTTCAATGACAATGACACCCATCCTTGCACCTTTCTTTTGGTTCAATTGAAGCACGTCTCGATTATTTTCTATTTAATTCGGTCAAAATATCGATAATTTATGTTGGAATTAAGATGTTTTATAATATATATGAATTTCTTATGACATAGTTTCAATGGGAATATTTACATTTAAAATATATAAGTTTATAATTCGTTTATGTTACTACTTGAATTATCTTTGCTTGCGGTTTGGTATACAAAATTTTGGATACCTTAAATCATTAGGAAGACATTGGAGGCTACGATTTGCTTAAGCTAATCCTTTGCTAGTGGATTACTCGTGCAGTTTTTAATTTAGTCTTTAAACTTGAGAAAAGGAAATTTAGGGACAAATTTACAATAATCATGACTTTTGTGTTGTCCTTGTTAATATAATTTTAGTAGCCAGCAAGTAACCTTCTAACCCAGTAAAAAAAATTGGATTTTTATGCAGGAAACAGCAGGATTTGGGCTTTCTGGTGTTTCTGTGTGGAACGCATTTGTCTTCGAGATAGTCATGACGTTCGGACTGGTTTACACCGTTTACGCCGTAGCCGCCGATCCAAAGAAGGGTGAGGTCGGAATAATTGCACCCCTAGCTATTGGGTTCATCGTCGGAGCTAACATTCTCGTTGGTGGTGCCTTCACGGGAGCTTCAATGAACCCTGCAGTGTCATTTGGGCCTGCTTTAATAAGCTGGAACTGGGCTGACCACTGGGTCTACTGGGCTGGCCCTCTGATTGGAGGTGGGCTTGCTGGGATTGTGTATGAGCTTTTCTTCATGACCCATGAGCCCACACCAGGCCCAGAGTTCTAGGAAGTATCAATTTGGTTGTATGTTATGTGGTTTGGGAGTTTTTGTTCATTTCTTTTTTTTTTTTTCCTGTTTATGTTCTTAATTGGATTCACCACCCTGTTGCTGTTATTGATCTTTGTTTATTTGGGGAAGCACTTTCTTTGTTTTGATTGATAATCTGCTTTTCTTTTGAAGTTTAGTTGAATGAAGTACGAGATTAAATTTAAAACTCGTCTCATAAATGAGTCATAATCAGTACGAGAAATGTTTAATATATCGTAATAATAAGATGAGCATGATCTTGAATACAAGGTTGAAGTGAAGTTTAAGTTAGACCATAATGTCAGACTTGGTGCTTTCCTTTTGACAAGCAAGACTTAATGAAAAATAATAATTAATGAATAAAGTTTAAACAAAATATTTGAACTAAGTCACACTACCAAACACTCTTTACAAACAAATTGAGTTAAACCCAACAATTTGGCATTTAGCTCCGTCTATCCATTTGCACACTAACCATCTCATAATCAAGGATCAAAATTTTGTTTTGAAATAATTAAAATATCCAAAATATTTTTAATTTTAAGGAAATCAAAATAAATTAATAATAGAATCAAAATTTTAGTATTTCGAGATATTTTGTATTATTTTGAGAATTTTTTGTAATATTTCAATAATTATTTCGAAATATTTCAATGTGTTTTAATATATTTTGATCAATGTTTTAAAAAAATAATTTTTTTTTATTTTTTTATCTTTTCATTATATTTTTGAAATGAATCGAGATATTTCTAAAATACGTCGAAACGTTTCTATTTTTTAGATGACTAAAATAATACACAGAAATAAAATTTTGCTCCTTGTTGATAACCTTACAATGAAAGAACTTGAATTCCTAGCTTGAATATGGTTCAAGTAGAAACATGGATAAGTTATAAATTTAAATATTCTGAATTAAAATTTTAGTAATTTTTTTATGCCTTTTTATTTTTCATGAATATTTTAATTTTGATATAGATAATCTATTTTTTATTAAATTAAAAAAAATTAATCAAAATATACATAAACAGATGAAAACATTGAGTTGAAAAAAGAAAAAAATATCCGAAGACCCGACAACCCATAATCAAACCGTACCAAATCACAATCAGTACTGTCTGAATTATAACTTTCAAAAAAATTACAATTACTTTTGAAATCCCATAGATCATGAGTTTTTTTTTTATTTTTTTTTCCGGAGACTTTTCAGCAATGCCAAAGGCCAAAAGAGCAAAGGTAGTTGCATGTGAGAGTGAAAATTGAGGGCCCCCATTGGACGGTGTCATAATAGACAGCAGCCAGTACCCATTGGCGTTTCACGTGGAGATTGGGGTCTACAAAGATTTCCAAAGATACTTTGGTTCGGAGGAAGCAGAGCCACATGACACAACTGGCAATTCACCGCAAGTGGGCAGTCGGTTTGAATGGTCATTTTTGTTACCTATTTCCTTTGAAACAGTTCTTCCTCTGTTTTTTGTCTGTTTTGTTCTGACATTGACCATCTCCCTCCTAGATAAGAGTGTCAATTTTTGAGCCATTAATTTATTAGATACAAATAATTATAAAATTAACACAATTATTAAATATACTTAATAAATAATTTAAAATACCTAATTAATCAGTTTTCATACATTGAACATGGTCAACCAACATATTTTTTTAAATGTTTGAATTATTATGTTTAAATAGTTATATGTTATGCATGCAAAAAAAATAAATAAAATAAATAAATAAATATATATATATATATATATATATATATATGTTATGCATGCAGATTAATATTGGTCAAATAACATATTTTTTGAAGATATTTTGACGACATTTTTAAAAATATTAGTGGGTTTATTTTTATCATTGTTTGTTGAAATTTTCTTTTATACCTTGCATTTATATATAGACAGATGTTATGAACTTATTTACAAATAACACCGTGTCTTCAGATACGGACAATTACTAGTTAATATATATTTTATTATTATATTTTATATAAAATTAATACATACATAATATGTAATAAATAAATAGGATATATGCATATATTAAAGGAAATAAAAGTAAATAACATACATTTCAACACATATAATTAACTTTTCTTTTATTTTTTCTCCTACTTTTGGAGGAATATATTTTGATGAGTTGAAAAAAAATTAATTTTATCTATTAAATATGTAATTTGAAGAAATTGAATATGAATTTGATAAATTAAATATTAATTTGGTGTTAAATTGATAAAATTAGTGTTAGTGTGATGAAATTAATATTTGAATTAACGAAATTAAATGTCAATTTGATAAAATTAAAGTTCAATTTAATGTTAATTGAATAAAAATAAATTCAAAATTAAATAAATTGAATGTTAATTAAATGAAATTAATTTTTAAAATGTTAATTGATTTTGTTTTAAATTGATGAAATTAGTGTTAGTGTGATGAAATTAATATTCAAATTAGTGAATTAAATATCATTTGATGAATTGAATTCAATTTGATGAAAATAAATTATAAGGTATTGAGAAACAAGGGGATTAAAGGGTAAAGTTCATGTCGGAATTTCCCATCTATATAAGTTATAACTTGTAAAAAATTCCCAATCAATCTTAAAAGTTTTATACTTGATTTCTAAAAATTATTCAATTACAATATTTAATAATCAATCATAATCTTGAATTGTAACTTAGAATATTTTTTTGAGTTTTCACATTACAAGTTTTTATTTTTGGTATGAGACCATCGTCCTGTTCCTCTCAAGTTAATCA